ACTGGTCTTCAGTGACGACCTATAAGGTATGTCCAGTCCAATCCATCATAGTTAACGCACTTACTATCTGGATCAGACTTCCGAGGTTACTCATTTGGTATACCCAGACCTCAGTGTTTATTGCTGACAGAAAAAATAATTTGGAGCCTGAACTTTTCATTGGAATGCAATTCAACCTCTCTTTCTCTGTTAATTCAACAAATCGTCTTATAATGCTACCTCCCATTATCGGTGACAACGACGAGTCAAAACAAAATTTGATATAATTTATTGGATTTCACAATTCTGGACTCTTATGTCAAAGAAACCAATGATCCTGATTTGGATAAAGAGCCAACTTCTTTCTCTGATCGGAACTCATCAGATACGAATGCAACGCTTGCAGAAATGGAAACTGTACCCATAAATTATGCATTCTAAACATTAAGTAATTCTGATATAACTAATACCAATTAGATGGAGGCTGAATCTTAGAAGTTCACCGACATCGAGGTACAGGAAATTTTCCACATGTTTTTCATTAATCAGAACCTTATGCAGAATATGGAGTTGATGGCAGGTCGAATCACCACATACGGTGGATCTGCTGACGAAACATGGAAATTTGTAATTAACCAGTATTACAACACTGGTCTGCTATAATCTGCTTTCCCACCACATTTTATAACGTGTTTCCCTGTGTTTTTTTTTAAACTGTGAGATCAACACTGGGGAGGGAGTGTGTGGCGATATCAAGCAGGCTGGTTTTTATTTGTAAAAAACAATCGGACATGTCATGTATATTTTTGATATCGAAATATTTTTATAGTTAATAAATTTATATTTTTTTATTATTGGGAGTTTCTAATTTAATATATTATCATAATCATTACGACTCCCACAAAACCATTACCAGATAAGCCTAAAAAAATTGAATTAATTTTGGAAATTCAAAAATTATTTGAGTGATATCAGTTCCTATAGTTCACTAGGATATCGTGCTGATTAGGTTTTGATAAAGATTGGCCAGGTCGTTTCTTTGTAAAAAATTATTAATATCGATTTTGATAATTTTAGTGAAAATAAGCATAGTGATAAAATTTATGATTTTAACAAATATCCTCAAATTCTATAGTTTCTCGTGGAAGGCTTAAACATTATATTTCCAAATGAACAGTGAAAAATATAACCGTTACAACTTCAAAAGCTGCTGAATCTAAATTTTTATTCATTGGGTCGATTATTCACAAATGTGAAATATAAATATCCGGCTATTAGAATCACTACTATTTATTCTTCACTTGTTTGTTTTTATTAGGTATAGTTTGTGAATACTTGTTGTATAAAACTAATTAGAATTTTGGCGGACGTGACTTAACGCCAGAACTAAAATATAATTTAAAACTGACCCAAAACATGACCCGTATGTGTTCCCAATTTTTATTAATCTCTTCATTATTTTCGAATGTATTTACGCTATGGATCAATTATTAAATATAATTAGATATCAGCTAACTATAAATGCAAATGATTATGTTCAAATTTTAATAGTAATATTTTTAAGACGATGATGGATATCACCCGTTACAAAATATTTGAAAAATAATATATCAGAGTGTAAATATGGTTTTATAATAGAATCAAAGTACCAAATATAAGAAATATGTGCAAAACAATACAGTGACCTTTTAGAGATATTGAAGGTAATTTTGACAAAATAATTACAAAGAAAAAGTTTGCATAAAACGAGATCGAGGAGTGGCAAGTACATGCTTACATGAATTATACGAGTATATTGTATTGGTTTAAAAATAATTTGATAAATATTATTTGTCATCATTTTCATATATTCCATCGTCGTGTGTTAAATAAATAGTGGTGTTTTATTATGTGCTAAAGCACATTTTTAGAACTTTATGCATTGTGATCAAATATAGATATGCACGATTAGATAAATGAATTACTATCGCGATGTAGATATAAACATTTTAAAAAGAATGAATGAATGAATGCATTTTTCAAAGTCCACAAGAACTGAAGGTCTTCTTACATAATAATAATAATAATGGGTAGTACTGCCGTAAGGCATGTCCGTCAGCTAAAGGAAGAAGTAGTGTGAGAGTTTATCACATTTCCATTTAACAACGCAGTGACCGAGATGGGCTTATTTTGAATAGAAAACATATTTTGTTCTATATTTTCAAGTGAAAATGGAATATATATATATATATATATATATATATATATATGAAATGAATAAAACAGCCAATGCGTCGAATGTAAAGATTTATTTTAATTTTTTATACGTTACGAGACTAGATGTGTCTCATCATTCAGCAAAAAGAAATTTACATTATATAGAAAAAGTTCTAAAAAATTAATTTATACATTGGAAAAATTAATTGAAAACAACAAATTATACACACCAGATCAGGAAAAACCACACTATACTAACACATTTTACAACACCACAATCACATGATACTACTGTAGGAAAGCAAAAATAATTTAAGAAAAGACCAAAAAAGGTAAAAGTAAAATTGTATGAAATTGTATTTTTGTTTTTAACAGATTTTTCTTTTAGCTGAATGATGAGACACATCTAGTCACGAAACGTATAAAAAATTAAAATAAATTTTTACATTCGACGCATTGACTGTTTTATTCATTTCAATATGTTTCAACGTCGAACAAAAAATCCTCAATATATATATATATATATATATATATATATATATACATATATATATATATATATATATATATATATATATACATATATGATTTAAACTCCCACTCGATTCAAAGAAGAAGTAGTGTGAGAGTTTTTTCCATTTCCATTTCAAATCGCAGTGCCCGAAATGAGCTTATTTTCAAATGGAAACATAAATTGATCTATGTCATTAAAAATGGACATTGCGCTGATGTCAGATTGCTAAAGCGGGGAATCGAACGCGAAACCCCATCCATATGCATCTGCGCCGTAACATATAATATATATATATATATATATATATATATATATATATATATATTAAACGTTAAGTATGAACACAATACACTCGGCTTTTTTGCTTACACTTTATTTCATGAATTACAGTCGTTTCGAGATAGTGGTATGCCTCATCGTAAGTGTATTTTTAACAGTAAAAAATGTATATAAATAAGACATTATTAAATTTTTATTATAAATTATATTTAATCTAAACTCTTAAGAAATATTTTTACATATAATTCACATATTTAGTATAGTATCCAGCATGGAAAGAAAAAATGTGTGTTTCGTTTAAAAATTAAAAACAATATATTATAAAAATTTAGTAATGTATCAGTTAAATACTCTTTACTATTAAGTAAAGTTATTATTTTGAAGTTGAGGTGTACCATAGTCTCGAAATGTCTGTAATTTATGAAATATAGTGTGATAAAAAAACTGAGTGTTGTGTGTTTATATTTGACATTTAATATTCGTTCCACGCATATTACAAAATTATGTAGGGGAAAGGCTTGTAAGTTGCCACCCCATCGCTTTTATGCCTATATCTCGACGTTGGAAAGAAGACCTCAAAAGCTTTAATCCATGGCATCAGATCATTTGAGTTATGTGAAAATGAAAATTTTACAGCCGATTTTCAAAAGATCTTGAAAATGACCCCGCCAAAAAAAGCTTGTAAGTTGCCATCCCTGCAAAAATCGCTGGAAATTTGGGAAAACTGAAGTACAAACGCATGATTGACAAAATTTATGAAAATTTATTGGTTGTGAACTTGGTACATGAGCGTTAAAATGAATTGAAAAAGAGCATGAAAAATTTAAATGAATAGCTTTGAGCAACGAATTGAATAAAAAATGACATCCAAAATTGAATTATCATCATTTTCCTCCTTGTCGTCATCATCAGAGTCGCAATTCGGACAAATGTAAACACTCGAGCAACAATTCAGCAATTATTCATCGTTACCAACATCATTAATATCGGGTACTTCGGCATTGAATTTATCGAGATAACGAGAAAAACTACGCATTTGATCTTAAATTGTTTTGCGCTGCTTTTCTTCGATTTTTTGTCGATGACGACGGCTTTGATTGCAACAAGTAATGCATCAAAATTGGGTACACCAAAATCGGTTTTTCTTGGTCGGCGTGCACCCATACTAAAAATAAATTTTTCTTAAAAACATCGAGAAAGGTATATCCAAAAATGGTAGAAAAATGCACTAAAAACAATTCAATTTGTCATAGATAACAGGTGGAATTAATAATAAATATATAGACTTGTATGTTGCCAGTTAGATTTTGACGTTCTAGTACTGACAATTTTGGTATTGACAGTACTAGAACGTCAAAATCTAACTGGCAACATACAAGTCTATATATTTATTATATATATATATATATATATATATATATATATATATAATAAATATATAGACTTGTATATTGCCAGTTAGATTTTGACGTTCTAGTACTGACAATACCAAAATTCTACCTGTTATCTATGGCAAATTGAACTATTTTTAGGTGCAGGGTAGTGTTACCCTGAGGCAGGTCCGTGAGCTGAGTTAAACTCCAACTCGATTTAGGGAAGAAGTAGTGTGAGAGATTTTCCCATTTCCATTTCAGACCACAGTGCCCGAGGTGGGCTTATTTTTAATTGGAAACATATTTTGATCTATATTTTCAACTGAAAATGGACATCGCGCTGCCCGATGTCAGGTTGCCAGAGCGAGGAATCGAACGCGCGACCCTGTCCATAGAAAGTCATATGTATTATATATATATATATATATATATATATATATATATATGTATGTGTGTGTGTGTGTGTTAACTCTAATCGTCTCTATTAATACACAATGTTCTCTTGGTTACTTTATTTACTCAACTGAACTACGTTTACTATTATCCGTGTTATATAAATCCTTGTTTTACATATTACTCAACGCCTACTATATCACGCTGTCATTATCATAGTTAATATTCGGCTATCCTGATCAATTCTCGTCCTCGAGAATGTAGTTTTAGAATTTCTTGGGACGTGTGATTGTCCGTTTCTGTCTCCTCTTCTTTGTCACTGTTATTAGATTTGTCATCATTACTGTCATCTGAGTAACTGTCGTCTTTTTGCATCTGTATGGGCACTTGGCTTTCTCCACACTGCATTTGGTAATATGCATCTCCGATTTGCAGCCAGCGTCCTTTGATGGTTTATCTCCCGCTGATTTGGATCGTTTGCAATCATCCTTTTTAGGTTTCTTGGTACAGTCGGCAGATTTGGTGCGTTTCCTTCTACACTTTGATTCACATTTTGGTTTTGTTGGTGGGCATTTTGGTTTAGGTTGCTCACATTTAGGTTTTGGCGGTGGACACTTCGGCTTCTCTTCACATTTCGGTTTTGGTAGAAGACACTTTGGTTTTTCTTTACATTTAGGCTTTGGTGAAGGACACTTCGGTTTTTCTTCACTTCTCTGCGCTATGGTTAACCAGTCTTCTTCTATTAAATAGTTATTCAATACCATAAGTCCATCCGCACACTCTGTCTTTTTAGCTTCATTTATTGTGTTTTGGGATAGAGCATCCACATGTCTCATCTTCTCTGCTGGTCGATGAATCACCTCATAGTCAAATTCTTGTAGTTTCTTTTTAGGTATGTATTCATTTAATTTTATTGTATCCATTGTTAGTTTTCTTACATTTTACTTTTCCTAGGATTGTTCACATTCATGGCACTCGTCGCATTTTGTAACTTTATAATTCTTTCCAACCGTTGTTTTATTATTTGATATATTTGGTATCTGTATGATGGTCTCACCCCCTCTCATTGACACTAAACATCTTGGGATACATCTGTTGTCTCTTGTTGTACTGGGCTCTATATACATATCAGCATTTGTGTCTCTATCAGTATGTACACTAATGAACCCTACATACTTAGGCGGTATAACGTACGTTTATTTAGCCCACAGGTTAGTTTTTGGTGGTGGTAAGTCCGGCACTTTCAAATCTCTCAGGCAATCATCCATTTCACTAACTTTGTCTTCGAAAATTCGTAAGGCACCTCCTCTTCTAACTATCACAATATGTTTTTGCTCTGTGAACGGTTGACCTATTAATAATGGTATTGATTGGCATTTATCTTCCACAACAAATATAAGAGTCACTGCCTTAGCTTCGTCTACTTCAATTTCTGTGGTACAACTACCTATCGGTCAAACTTCTCCGCTGCCAAAACCTCTGATTGTGATATTCCTTGGAATTTCTTCGTACTGTATTCCTAATCCGTCTGCATCAATTTTTTTCAAAAGTGTGCACTGGCTGCCTAAATCAATATAACTCTTTATCTGTTTACCTGAAATATAAGCATCATGAAAATATTTTAGGTTTTCTTTCTGCTCTCTGTTCATGTCGGCGTTCGTCAGTACATTAGACTTTTCTGCAGTGTGTTTGTTCTCTGATTTGATTCTATCGCAATATTTTGATATATGACCATATGCCTTGCATTTAAAACATAGTGGTCTGTCACTGCTGTCTCTAGCTGGCAAATATTCCTTTCGATCATATTCGAATTTAATTCCTCTCGTTGTCACTGTCTCTGAAGGTAATAATGCTCTTGCCATTCCTTGATTTTCTTTGTGTATTGGGTTCCTCTCTTTTTTTTTTAAATTCGATCCTTTCGTAAACATTCATATAATTAAATAAGTCGCCGGAACTGTAGAGGGTTTTCGCCATCATAACGTCACATATATTCTTTGATTTTAATCCAATTAGAATCTGTTCTTTAAATTCTGCTAGTTCCAACCCTAGAAGACTGCATAATCTAACTTTTTCATGAAAGTAATCATAAAGTGGTTCATCACGTTGTTGCACCCTATTTACCATTCGAACCCATTTCTCGGTTGTCGTCTCTTTAGACGCAAACGTGTCTTTGAAAGCACACTTGAAGTCCGTCCACGTAGTCAGTATATGTCGCCTCGCGTCGTATCAATGCTTCGCTCCACCAATGAGATGTGTTCGAGCTATTTCCAAAATATATGCGTCTGGTAATTGATGCAATAGCTGAAAACTTACTATTTCACTCAACCATCAGCATCATAATTTTGAACTATTCTTCTAAAGTTAGCCCTCCATCGCGTACAAATCTTTCTTTTCCGATACTAGTATCACTTTGGTCCAACTCTCGCGGTTCACTCATGTCGTGTACATCTCAATAATGTCTATACCGGGTTTTTACATTACAGTCTATACCGGGATGTATATACATTCATTCACTCTTAACTCTTTTATTATACTGTGAAATTCAAATCACCCAACCATCAAACAAACAAATATTGAAATATGTTCAATGAAATAGTATGTTAGAAATATACACTATAATTTATTAAACAAATTTATTTCCAATAACTCAATTTATTTTAATGCCAAGGGCTATTCAATATTTTTAATCATACCTAGAGATGTAAGTAAATGAATAAATAAATGATTTTTTGTTTATTCACGACTGAAACATCGATTTCCCAAATATATCACATAAAAATTCATCGTCTGCCTTTGTAATTTATAGCATAAGGTATTGGAAATTATAGTCTTTTAAACAGTATAACGAATTCAGAAAGAATTAATATATAGTATCCGCGGTAAAAGTACAATATCGCCTGGGACTTTTTTACCCAAAATAATTGCTTAAATAATGTTGCCTATTATTTTATAATCTCGTACTGTATATCAATTGTTTTCAATAATAATAATATTTAAATTAATTTTTTATAATAATACTTTGTTATACATTATTACTTAAGATCATATTTTAAGTGAATCGATTAGTCAAATCTGGTTCATATGTGCATTATTAACTTCCCGTAGGGCAAGTTATAGTAATCGCAAAAAAAAATCGAAAATGAAAATTTTTATATATCTTTACGTTTCAAAGGTTTTTGAATATTTTGGCATACCTTATAAAAAATGGATGTATGTGTGTGTGTATGATTGTGCGTGTGTGTGTGCGGATACAAATTTTTGTCGACGATTTCGGGAACACCGATCAACCGATTTGAATAATTGAAAAAACATTCGATTCGTATTGATAAGGAGACGTGCTGATTAGTATTTAGCAAAGGCAGGTCCAGTCGTTCCAAAGATACGGGGCAAAAAGTGCCAAAAATGGTAACTTAGTTTTTAAGAGAACGGAGCTTCCGATTTTAATAATTCAAGAAAATTTTACTTGTATTAACAAGATGAAGAATTGATCAAATTTTCATGAAGGCAGGTTTAGCGGTTTCGGAGATCTAATGAAAAAAGTAAAAAAAATGCCATTTGGCGGTCAAAATGATCATTAGACATATGCACATCACATTATCAGATATTTTATAGATATTTTAACAATAAGTTTAAATTTTGTTTACATTCCTATGGGTTCCGTACCAATGTTTATCCGTTAGACAGCGACGCGGCGCTTATGCGCTTTGACGTTTCGTCTCTATGCAGTTAAAGCAGTACAATTGCTTTAAAAAAAGTTTAAAATTTCCAAAATATGTCAAAATAAATAAAACATTTTTTTTTTTAATTCTTTTTCCAAAAAAAGTAATTTTTGGTCGAATTTATAGTTTCTCAAAAATCTAATTTTTTCGAAGTAAATTTTTTTCAAAAATGTTAATCGTTTTTAAAAAAATAATAATTTTTGATACGAGAAGTTCCAGCAATTTGCCTTAAGGCACGATGCCATGCGCTCCACTAGTTCTATCTACGATCAACGAAATTAGTGCAGTAAATGGAGAGAAGGGGGTATCCTGTTATCTTTTTTACTGTGCTCCAATTTGCGTGATATTTTGTAGTCTTTCGAACCCAGTTAATTCTAGATGAAATACAATTAATTGTATATTCCGTGAAAATGACACTCATAAAACTAATTGATTTAAATGAAAAAACTAGTGACGCATGGTATCGTGCCTCAAGGCAAATTGCTGGAACTTTCCGTACCAGAATTAAATATTTGAAGGAAAAAAAATCAGTAATCAATAAATATTGACCAATAATTAATAACAATTGTTAACATTTTCAAATAGATGATTATAGTCACTATATATTTTATAGTTCGTAAAATCTAAAGAGCGATCTTATCGCTCAAAACACTTGAAAAATTAACATTCGCAATAGGTGCTGAATAAATCCGTCTGAAAATATATTTCCTACAATTAGAATAACGCATTTAAAATATATACATTTTCAAACTAAATTGTAAATTTAAAATTTATATTTGAAGAATAAAACTTGGTATATTTTTGAAAATTTTGAAATTTTTTTTTTCTGAAAATTTTGAAATTAACTTGATTTGTATAAGGAAATCTTAAAAATTAACAATCTCGGTGCGGAACTCAACAAAAATTCATTCATACTCATTTTTAAAAATTTTATCAGGTATCCGATAATTTGATGTACATATTTTTAATGATCATTTTTGACCGAAACTATCATTTTTTTTACTTTTTTCTCTGTATCTCCGAAACAGCTGGAACTGTCTTAACAAAAATTCCATCAATTCTTCATATCGTTAATGCAAGTAACATGTTTTTTGAATCATTCAAATCGGATACTCCGTTCTCTCTAAGATTGTATTACCGTTTTAGGCACTTTTTGCATCGTATCTTTGAAACGGCTGGGTCTGTCACCGTCAAAAACTAATCAGCACGTCTTCTAATCAGTTAGAATCGAATTTTGAATTATTCAAATAGGTTGATTCGTGTGTCCAAAATCGTGGACGAAAAATTGTAGCCCATACATACACACACATATATATACATATTTTTAAGCGCTTAAGTGAATTAAAATTTTTGTCAGATAAAAACTGTCATCTGATTTGTTTTCAGTGCCAAACAATGCCTCAAATATTTTAAAGGTCAAACAATAATAAGCGTTTTTTTGTAATTTTTTCCATTTATTTTTACAATCTAACTCTCTTTCTATAATTAAAACAGTCCTAAAATAATCCCTTAACGAACTTCAGAAAGTTATCAACGAACTTCAGAAGTTAATCAAAATTCGAATAATCGTTTAGGAGGAGTTTTCTTTCATACATCATTACAGAAGAATTTTGTACATAAGATATATATATATATATATATATATATATATATATATATATATATGGGTGTGCGTGTACAAATTTAAATCCTAAATGCATAGAAAATAATAATGCTAACATTAACCAATTTTATAACCAAGATTTTGTTTTTACACCCATTTGTTGAAAACAGGTCTCTCGTGTAAAAAGAGAATTAGTTGTTTATTTTTTTTAATTTAAGATGTAGTTGCTCGAGTTTAAATCTAATTAAGAGTTTTCCTCTTATGTTGGCACAGTTGAAATAGTTATAATTATTTTCTGGTCATTGCTCGTCAAACAATAATAAACTTCCGACGTTTCGGAACTAATATATCCGTCGTAACAAAAATACACGCGATTTGCACATCTACATTTACAATATTGAATGCGCGTGCAATTAATATAATGAAATAAATCCGAAGCTAATTTCGCATGCACGTAGGAAGGCAATGTGGGGATACGATGTAATGTTAATTTTGCACCTCAAATTAATCACATTGATGTCTCCATTTGAGCGCCTGGATGTACGCGACATGGCGAGGGATTTAAGTGCGAAGTGCGAAATCAATCACATCGGAATTGATA